TAAAAAAAAAAAAAAAAAAGAAGAAGGAAAAGGAAAAAATTGCTTTTTACTCTTGAGCTCCAAGGGGAAAATACTTGGGAGGCACAGAGGAAAGGCCAGGGTGCTGCAGGAGAATCCATCCATCCCAAGCAGCCCCTCACTGCCCTGGGATGGGTGAGATCCAGGGCAGGCTGGCAACCAAAACCTGCTCTCCTGGCCACCTTAGGTTTAAGGGAACATCTCAGGTCACAGCACTGAGGATCAGAAAGGTTGTTTTTTTTTTTTTAAGATAAATATTATCTTTGCAGGGACGCAGCAGATCCCTGGCTTGGAGGAAAGGCAGCAGAGTTCTTGATCCCTCATTTATACCCAGGACAAACAGACAGAAGCACAGCCACCCCTTCCTCTGCCCTCCACCTGGGCAGTGTCAGGGAGTACAACCACCTCCTAGTCAGAGAAAAAAATCATCTTAACCTTTTTTTTTAATGTTGCCAGTAAAACGAAAGCATTTGAGAGTTCAGACTCTTGCCTTTGGTGCTTGTTGCACGAGGCTAAGGAACTGAAATCAGCTCTAAAGAGGGTACAAACCAAGCAAAGCTGGTCAAGAGAAACAGTGAAAAGCACACAGGGTGATTATTCCTTCAGGCAGGTGCAAGCCCCAGCAGAGATGTTGTGCTGCTGAAGACAGCCCAGCAAGTGGACCAGAGCAATGGGGATGGGCTGGGAAGAGCTTCCCCATTGCTCATTCCCCCTTCCCCTTTGCAGCAGGAGGTTCACGGGCTACATCCATGTGATGGAAAACTTTCCCCAAGCCTCTGAGGTCAGCTCTGTGCTGCTGGAGGCTGTGGGGCTGGCAGCACACAGCTCAGCCTGTGTGTGCATCCTCCTCTCCATCAGGAGCTGAGAGGAGCCACCTTCAAGGTGCCCTCGGGATGGGACCATGGAGCCACCAGCAGCCAGGGGCCAAAGGCAACCCTGGTGTCAGTGCCCCAGTTGGAAAGCTTACACCAGAGCACTGAGCTGGTCCTGCCTGTACTGGGAGCAGCTCAGAGGACACACAAACACAAACACCACCAGCAAAGCAGCCATGGACCAAAACACATTCATCAGACTCTTTCTCCTAGGAATTCAGAATCTACACACACACAGGGAGCAAGGATCCATATTCCAATGGCACTGGCCTTTGGGAGTTTCTTTTCTTCTCTGGGGCACAGCATGAGACTCTCTCCCCAGTTCAGCATCAGGGGGCTGCACAACACCACTGTGTATTCCTCATTTCAAACCCAGGGGCTGGCACAGGCTGGCAGCACTCCCTGGGCACCAACACGCTCCCATTGCCAGGGCCAAAAACTGGGACTTGCCTTTCCTCTTGTCCTCCCACAAAGGGACAAGGTCCTTGTTCAGATCTGGGGAGGTCTGACCCTCCCTGCCTTCAAGTCAGGCATCGCAGCACTTGAGCCCCACGAACAAAATCAAAGGAGGCACCAAATGTTTCACATCCCAGGGATGATTTTTTTTATAGGGCCTCAGGGGCCAAATACCACCAAAGGAAACACATGTCAGGGCTTAAACTCCCTCTGAACTTTGAAGGCATGATGAAGCATCTTGCCAAAGCAGGACCTGAAGCTCCAGGTGACTGGGGCGAGGTGGGATGGAGGGACCAACCTGTGCTTGCAGAGATGGGAAGAACACCCCTGGAAACCCCCTGGGCCAAGCCAATGATTTCATGGCGTAGAAGAACCCTGCAGCAGGCAGAGCATCCACGGCGTGACCTTGGGCAATGACCCTGGGCCCCCTGCCCCTTCCCTCCATGGTCCTCAGGAGCACTCCCAGCCCAGCAGCAGGTCCCCAGGGCAGAGCCAGGAGTGGGGGACACCCATCGGAGCAGGACAGACACAGCAAGGGACTGGAGAGACAGCAGGTTTGGAGGCTATGGCTGTATTAACAGCAGAGTTAGTTTAAAAAAAAGTCATTTCCAGGCAGTGTGAAGCTACGTTTTGGGGGAAGAGTTTCCAGCAAAGGCAAAAATGGAAACCACTTCATTTGCAGTCGAGCAAAACACTGTTTTCCAGCCAATTAACCCGTGGAACAGGATTACTGCTACAGTGGCGGTGCTTCATTTGGAAAACAGAGCAAAATCTTCAGACTTTTTGGAAACTCTTCCTCCTCTTCCCCTCTGCTTTGCCCCAGATTCGGTGGGGGAGCCCAGCGCAGAGGTTGGCCCAGCTCTCCAGCAGAGCCTGGAGGGAGGTGGGGGCCGGGGGCTCAGCGGGCAGCTCCCAGGCCCTCCCCTCTCCCTGCCCGGGTGCAGCAGGCTCAGTAGAAGCCCTTCACTCGCTTGTTGTCGGGGTCGAAGGGGGAGCGGGTGTGTGCTCGGGCAGGGTAGGTCACTCCCATCCTCTCCAGCTGGTAGCTGCCGTTCTTCACGAAATCCAGCGAGACCTGCAAGGCAGAGCCCCAGCAAACCCCCAGGTGGGTGCTGAGAGGCTCTGGTGAGGCACCAGCCCCCAGCTCCAGCACTGGGCAAACCCCCACATCACCCCACAGGTCTGCTTCCCACAGAAAACCCAGCTCTGCCACCCCAGAAGGATCCCCAGAGAGGGGGAAAGCACATTTTTAGAGGCACTCAGCTAAAAAAACAAAATAAAAAGAATGCAATATTTTGGGTTTTTTTTGAGGTTTGGGTCTTTTTTTTCCCCCTGTGGATTTTTTTCAGTGGTAGCCAGTGCAAAGTGCAATTGCAGCCAGGCTGTGGGAGCTCAGTGCCAGGGGTTCAGAGCAGTTGGGGAGGGGGGATGGCACAGGGGGGACAGC